GTCATTCTGAGCTAAACTCTTTGAATGTCCACATTTCTATATCGAAAAAAAGAGAGAGGCCAAAACTACTTCTCCCAATAAGGATTGAAAGGCTTGGTAAAAGCGCTGTTCCTGTACCGACAGTTGTTTTGTGTTCTCCCATGGATGCTTTCATGGGCTTAACAATGTTGAAGAAAAACCTAAAGATACTCTTAATAGTGTTGCCTGGATGGAAGGTGCAATGGCAATTCTTGAGCTGAAGAAGCAAACACTTTAGACAGCACATGTTAATAGCGAGTGAAACACAGTAATTATAGAGGGTGATGAACTCGCTTATGGTCACGAACGACCGCGTTAGCTGATGTAGGAAAGTTTTGCGATGTTTCACTTTAGTTGGAGAGGTGGAGAGGAGATAACTGTTTCTTTATTGATGTGGGCTCAGTATCACGCCCTTAATAAACCGGTGCGCCTTCATGGAGAACACTTTCAATCTTGTTACTCAAAAAAGGTTCCTGAAGACGGTCGTAGGCCAAATTTTGTGAAAAGAAAAATGGTTTCGCTCATTCTACAGCTAAAACATTATTCTTTTGTTTTGTGAAAGATTAGATCAAGTAATGGTAGTGAACTATCGTTGAAAACCGGTTTTTGAGATTATTTGAGAAACAGCGGAAGGTGTATAATCACTTTTTAAACGTAAACACAAAACGCCAGCCCAACTGTTTAAAAAAAAAGGCACCGTTTTGCACATGATCAGTACGTGTTACGTCATTGAGAGCGGTCGGCTCAGAGATTTCTGTCTAAAAACTCTTACCTTCAAAACGCAGAATAATTTTACCTTGCTACCAACAAGTGGGTATCCCAACTGATCAGTTGACTGATTAAACTGGCCGTCTCGTCTATGGCTGTCAAGTAACACCTTTCCCGATTTATCTACCGCTTCATCAGTGATGCACAAAACATCATCGGTTCTCATTAAGGATTATTAGGAGACTTACAGAAATTTTAGCCCTCGAGGGAATAAAAGACGCTTGAGTTAGCAGATAGAACAAAATCCAACTGACTAATGATCGGGGTAAAGTTGGCTGCTTAGCTTTCCCCTTAAGGCCTCTCTGGCGAAGTCAGCGTCATAGAGAGGTATTACTTTCTATTAGAAATCTTATCAATTTGGCGGGTTTATGAGAAGAGCTTTCAATTAGTTCTCCTTTTGAAAAGGTTCACCAACAATTCCACTTTAGTCTGAACAATTAAAATTCCTCTTATTCCCTTTGGACCGAGGTAAGTCAATCCAACAACCAAGCAGCTTAAACTTTGCACACAATAAGTGCTTGACTAAAGTTAGGTAATTTCCCCAGAGATTATCATGCCAAAGGCTAGCGAGTTTAGATATGTCAAGTATGCCATCAGTCATTATTCCATTGTAAAGTTAAGTAATTCCCTGAGCGATTACCGTTGCAGGTAAGAGGCTCATTAAGATTATTATTTACGGCACTGAAAAATATCAAGAGAAAGGCAACAAGATTTATTTGAAAAAATTAAGTAGCGGGTAAGAAGCAGCGTTTGGATGAGAGTACCCATGAGGTGATGACCTTTACAGCAAACGGTCATAATTTTGGCTATTTTACTACTAACGGTGAACAGTATGTTAAAAATTAGTTTTATTTGTTTCTAAAAGTTGACAAATAATTCTTTGTTCTAAACCATATTTACGACTGAACAATTAGTAAGACAAGTCTTGGGATAAAAAGAAGCGCAACACATGTTAAAGGAATAAAATGAGGAGAAAAAAACTAAAACAAACAAATCTCATAAATCAAATCATTGTGCACCATAGGATTAACATAGTCTGACATACGCTGTGCCACCTTAATAATTTACGAGAGCCATTTCGGCAGTCTTGCCGGAAACTCAGGTAGCGAGCGTGATTAAAAGGTGATTCTTGTGGAGAGAGAGCATGAGGAGGGAGAGTTACATTTACAACCGACCGTTTACTTCTCAGGTCAATTCAGAGATGTAAAAAAAATAACATATGGCAAACAGCAAACTACTTCGGTAATAGTACAGTCAAATCTCTCGTAAGCAACCACCTGAAATGTCAAGTCTAAGTGGTCACTCACGGGAGGTTGGGTCGCTTACAAAAAGTAGTCGCTTACGAGATATTTTTTATTTATAGTGATTTGACTTGGGAACTTTTTCGGTATTTTGAAAAAGTGGTCGCTAACTAAAGGTTCAATTGTACAACTATATGTGCAGAAGTAACAAATATAAAACAGTCTTAGATTTTGACATTCTCAAAATGACACATGCCAGATAAGAAAAGTTTTTACGTTTAACTGACTTTTTAACGCCTAAATCCGTACTCGACCCCTTTGAGGCCTATAATGATATCATCAGCAACAAAGATATTTTTAACAAGTAACCCCCTTTGGTGGGATAGAACAATAGATCGCAAGCTTTCAAGACATTCCAGAGACATTCTAGAAAAATGTTTCGAGGACAACATGAAATCTTAGGGCCTGTTTACATGCACGTGGGGGACCCCAAGTGGGCGAAGTAAGCCACCTAGCCGTGGTGGAAAAATAGCCCGCGTTTACATAGAATCTGACAGCTGCGGGATGCCGGGGTGAAGTTTCTCGAGGTTGTAGTCGCGCTTGCAAACATTATCGGTTCTCATTAAGGATTGTCAAAGGACCTAAAGATTTTTTTGCCCTCGAGGGAACATAATACGCACGAATTAGCAGATAGAACAAAATCCTAATGAGTAATAGCCGGGTTTAAGTTGGCTGCTTAGTCTTCCATGCAGTAAATTTTTCACTTAAGGCCTCTCTGGCAAAGTCAGCGTCAAAAAGAGGTACCACTTTCTATAAGTAATCTCATCAATTTGGAGGATTTATGAGAAGAGCTTTCAATCATTTCTCCTGTTGAAGTAGTTACTAACAATTCAAATTCCTCATATTCCCTTTGGACCTAGGTAAGTCAATCATACAACCAAACAGCTTAAATTTTGCACGCAATAAGTGATTGAATCGTAACAAAATGTGTTTGAATCTGCTTCAGAATTTATAGAAATAATTTCCCTAGTCTTGTGGCGGAACAGGGAGTAAAACCCATTATGTGACGGTAAGTTAATAAACATATTGTATTCACCTGAAACATTTGTTATCCTCGTTTGTAAATAGAATAAGGAGGATGGTAAGCTTTGAGCTCGGTAAATAAATAGAGAAAGATGTTTTTCCTCTTTGTATGAGCGTGGGACAAAGAAAAAACTCTGAGGCCCTTCGAGGAATCGAACCTCAGACCTTCGGATTCCGCGCTCCGATTCTCTACCACAGAGCCACAGAGATTCTACGGCGGGCGAGGTCTATTACGAAGTTCATATGACACGCGTCCTGCATACTGCTAGGATCAGCAATGTCGAAAGTGTCATTTTTTTATTCTAAATATATTTTATTCTAAACATATAGTTTGTAAATATTCTATTTACAAACATGACGCTATCGACATTGCTGATCCTAACAGTGTGCTAATTAGGAGCACAGTAATAGAAGGGTGTAACACGGCAAGGGAGCAGTGTCTTTTAAAGTCGAGCCCTGTAAAGAGGAACAAATCCGGTTTGTTTCAGGGACTACATGTAGTGTGAGACAAAATCTGGCCATGAATTTGTTTATCGCCCTATGGAAGGAAAAACACCAAAGGTCGCTTGATTCAAGAGCGCGACAAAGCCCTTAGGCAGTCATCTCCTAATTTATTTTTGAATGTATTTCATCGCCCTATGAATGGAAAATTATTCTTCTGGAAAAACACAAAAGGTCCCTTAATTCAAGAGCACGACGAAGCCCTCAGACAGTCATCTCTTAAATGTTTGTTTCAGGAAAGGTATTTGAATTTGACAGCTAAAGCAGTAAGCATCGAGAACGGTGACTATATCAAGTGATTTTCGCCGATCTAAGTAAAATTTCCACATATCCCCATATATACTACATTATGCATTCAGTTCTTGGAGAGAGAAAACATGACAAAAACAATACATTGCCATTGGGAAGACAGATTTGTTTTATAATGGTATGGAGCTGTGCGAAAATTTTACCCCGATCTATATTAAATGGAATGGAACTTACATCAAGTAAAGACTAAGAAGTAGAGTAAATTTCGACAAGAAGCGTGCACAAATACAGCGAGGCAGATCCCGAAACGCCGAACAAACTTTGGTTGTTAAATTTGCCAAATTCTGTGTCGACCGTCGACGAGGAAATTATGCAATGACATGAATATGGAAGCGATCCTCGCAGTTATTTTCACTACTACTTAAGTAGTGGTCATGACTGTGAGAATCGCTTCCATATTCGTTTCTTCAGCCGCAGTTCGCATGTATGATATGCAAAGACATGTACACGTTTCCTCAGAGGGTAATAAATTATGCAAATAACGAACCAAAACAAAAACAGAACAAAGCAAGCGTTCTAATTGCTACACTAATTGCAGTTCTGAGCAAACCACAAATGCCTGTTAACTGGTTGAATAACAACGAGTGGTATAGTTACTCTTTACTCAACTTGGCACAAGTTCCGCGGTTTCTACGTTGATTTTTTGAAAATTTATCAGCGATAGCAAAATAAACCAGCCATAACTCTTCTTTTTACATTCTATCCCAGCGCTCCGATTGGTCAAAATTCAATCGTTAATTGCACCGGTAGACTCATGAAAAATTGATACATTTTAAGTTTATTTTATAGAAGCAATATTCTGCATTTTTTATTGGTTTACTGGCGTTAAAACCTACTTAGGTGCTAGAGGAACTCGAGAAAAGTTTACAAGTCACTCGCCTCCAGCTCGTTATTTACAAACATTCATTCGATCGTGTTCTCCCAACAATCAGCAGATGTTATTACGCCGGTAAAGTGATAAAAAGTGCGGTTCATTCTTTAAACAGTCCTCTTTACAATTAAATAATTAAAAATATTAAAGAATATGAAATTGCCTTTCAGGTACAGCTCAACCGAATTATAGATTCCGAAGAGATCATCATGACTGTTTGGAACCAGAAAGCCCTTTTTGTCACATCACTTATCGTCTGTGTTCTATCAGTTTCAGTGTTGCACAAACACTTCAAGTGTAACTTGGCCTCCGTTGTTGATGAGCTAGTAAGACTGCAATTTTTGTTTCTTTGCATGGTCATTTTGGAAAGTTAATATCATGTAATATGTATTGCATCAAGAGATTAATGTTCACATTTTGAAGCGCGCACGAATGAGGTGCTCACCTCCTTATATAAAGAGCGTGTCTGAGAACATCTCGCGCATCCTTCAACCCTTCAATGTTCGTGTCGTCCACAAACCCATAGCCACTCTACGTTAATAACTAACAAACGTCAAAGACAAGGACGAGCCTAAGAACAGACAGGGAGCAGTATATAAGATCGATTGCTCCAACTGCCAAGCCTCCTGCATCGGAGAGACAGGCAGAAACCTCACAACGAGACTGACTGAATACAAGCGGGCGACAAAGAAAAGGTGATGTCAATAATCACTTTGCCAGATATCATCGACTCATGAATCATTCTACTGACTGGGACTCTGCGCAATGCCTAACCTACAGCACTAACTACTTCCACCGACTGACTCTAGAAAGCTGGTCACCTAACTTAAAACAGACTCCCCTCAAGAGGTGTCAACAACTACCGACACCACACAAACGACTTATATGCTGACGATGAACAAATTCATGTCTCGCATAAAGATCCAGTGAAGTTAGAAATGAGACTTCAATGCCAACTTCTCGAAGCTGACAAAATTTTTTGTTTTTTTTCTTTCTTGGAGAAATCGGCAATGCAGCTACTCTTGTTAATCCGAGGTAAAATAAAGGTGATAACAAACCGAACAGAACGACTTAACTTTACCGACAGGTCGAAGCCGCGCAACACGACCGACTCACGCCACTTGAGTCTTACAGCCAATAACATTACGGCAAACCTGGCCTGCAACCGGACTTAGAACATTCGACTGACAACAAATATTCACTTGACTCTGATGATGACTTCCGCTCGGGTTGTCGAAACATTAGTCACCATTACCGACAACAGTCCTTTTCAGGACTACCCTCACCCGGACGATCAGACCACATTATCGCACGTTACCCCCGGGTTCCAAGCATTTACTGTAATCGACATATTCCTATTCTTCTCAATTTTGAAAATTCTGAGACAACAGTTTATGTGATTTTATTGTTGTTACTATTTCAGTGCTCAGCTTATAGGGCAGGTGACGTGTCAGGTCCATTATGCCCAGATCTCTGCGGCCCAAAAAACAGTATCCATTTTGGAAATTGCCTCAGTACAGTGTCTGATAAGAAGATTTATAACGGTGAATGGCAGGGAAAGGAGGTTATATTGAAAATTAACATGAGTTGGTTTGAAGAGTTTGAGAAGAGGCAGAAAATAACCGACCTTGCAGCAGTATCATCATTTCAAGAAGATGTCTCCTCCAGAGTGAAGACTTTGTTTGGCGACTGCTCTCATTGCAACAAACTCGTATTTCGTTTGCTGTCACTTGGTGACGGGGACGGTGATGAGACAATTTCAGCGTCCGAAGCAAGAACATTTATCTCCTTACTACAACTTGTAGAACCCATGATGTTAATGGTCCTTAATGAAAGTAAACACACAGTAGATTTCTTTGGGTATTGTGGTGGATTATACGTTGTGGAGAAAGTGTCTTTTGTTGCTTCTGACGTGTTTGGGAACACTTGGGAGTTAATGGACCTTTCATTGTTGCCTGATGTATTTGAACCGCTGCAAGAATTACTCAATGACTACGGCAACAGAGCTATGAATCTTTTTGGCTCTTCTTTGTTAAAAATGGCTCGCAACCTTGGTTATGCGCGTACTGTTGCAAAGTGCCCTGTCATAGGCGCGTCTTTTCAAGTGTATATCAACAGCAGACGCAAAAAATTTGACTTCGCTTATTCGCTGTTGGACGCAACTTTAGACACATCTAGCACTCCGTATGGCTTGGCGCAGTCATGTGATGTACACTTGGGAAATTATGGAATTACAACTACGTCGACGGTGAAACTCATTGATCTTGATCTGATGTACCCTCACGTTTTTCTGCGAACACTCCTGGAACAGAAGAAATGCGTTTCTGACTGGGACTGTTTTGGAGGTCACCATTGCTGGTCAACTTGCGACAAGACCAAAGGCACTTGTAAAACGCTTTTAGGTATCCAGGACCTGCATATGGTATGTGAGGGTGTTTTTCCTCTACTGTTTAGACATCCCAATTACCTGGAACCAACAGATCACAACATGACCCGCTTGAAAAGAGCAATGAGAAAGCTGGCAGTCTTTTGTAGTGAGATACCAGTGGTATACTCAAGCGCAGAATTGCGGAGAAACATTCTGATAGTTAAAAAGAGGCTGAAATCAGTTGACATGATGGTCGCAAACGAATATTAGATCTTGTCCAGTGGGCTTAGATAAATTAGTTTGATTAAATGAGTTGATTATGTAAAATTGACCACCATAAAGAGGTTCTTAAGCTGACGTTTTGAGCATAAGCTCTTCGTTAAAGCGAAGCCATTTATTCTCCTCTATTTAGGCATCCACGATCTTATTTCACTAAAATTACCTATTATTCTCGCATAAGTGACTCAAGTACATCCAGGTGAAGATTGAGGCTCGCAGTGCACATCGGATCGAAAAAAGAAAGCCGGTTTTGCAACTCATAGTTATAAATAAGGACCTTAAATTCTTAACTAAGAATAATTGATGTATTGGCCGAAAATGAAGACTTGTAGCTGGATGGGTAATGGTGCGAATGCAAAGAGAGTAAAAACTGAAAAGAGGAAGCCGGATTAAAACCAATTCCCTCTTTTTTCCCCCTTTTTCATCGGCAAAGTTCTGGGCATCTTGGTGGTCTAATGGGCCGTTTGTCAGTTTCCCACTGCGTCTGCGTCGGCGTCCGCGCTGAGCTTCACTATTAAAAAATTTAAATGTTAAGGGGTGGCTCAGTTCTGTTTTGTCCTTACAAATAATTTGTAGGAGCAACACCCACGCTGGGTTCCTGTTTGTGCGCGACCAGGCCATTGAATTGATTTTTCACTCGGCATTTAAAGACATCTGAAATTGTCTTTCTTTTCTTTGATTTTTCCAACCATGTGAAACTTCATTTCATCCTGCAAATGATTCAAACTCATATTTTTACCTCGACTGTGGCGGGCTTTACGTTACGTATCGTCTAGACACTAGTTCGACTTAAAAATTGACTTTACAGCAACAATTGTTGTTGTGATCGTTATACCATCAGATTGAGGAAGATCAATTAGGGATGATGGTTAAAGATCCCAGTAGAAGACCATACCCAAAATTGGACATACTCAATCCACAACCCCTTTAAGAAAGAAAAAAAATCTGTAATACATTTTAATGTAGAAAAGCAGTTAGCACACTTCTTGCAAAACTTCCCTTGATCATGGAAAACGCGCAGTGTGGAGAAGATCAAAATAAAAGAATACAATTTTGGCGTTCTGTCATTACAGAAAGACTGCGTACCTTAAAGGGACACGTAATCAATTTTAAGTGCGTTACAGTGTTATTTACAAAACAACACGCATACACTCTGCAAAAATTCTTCCGGTTTCTACCGAGATTCAGCCAAAGGCGCCTTTAAAAATGAATCAGGTTGTTTCATGAAGAGCAAAGATTGTATTGGCTGCAGGCATTTCAGTGGAGTTTCAGCTCTGAAGTCTCTCCTGGAATGCTAGGACGACGTATCAAGTCATTTGAAGCATTACCACCTATCCAGCGAAATCGTCGAGTACGATCCCTGATTTTGTTTCATTTCGGTTATTTAGGCCTCAAAATTGAAAACAGTTGTTTCAGTATGTTCTAAACTTCGGAACACTTTGGGAAAACACTGAAAACGCGGTTAAAGCACATGTCAGCATTTGAATTTAGAGCACAACGGAAAATGTGAGGTAGTGAAAAAAGACCGAGTGTTTAGCGCCAAACTGGCAAGAGATGTTTTCGCTGTTTTCAGCTCTGCTTCACTGGTGATATACAAGACATTCTCAAAATGCATTATCAGTTCTCGCGAACGTTTTTTAGAGAGCTAAAGAAATACGAGCCCTTGAGGGAACACAATACCTTCGGGTTAGTAGATAGTACGGAATCCTAATAACTAATAGTCGTGGGAAAGATTACCGCTGCTTAGTTTCTATGCACTAATACATGACTTAAGGCCTCCATGGAAAAGTCGATTGAGGACGTCGTGAATTTCTTCACTGCCACGGAGAGAGAGGTATGGAAGGATAGAGAAAGTTACGGTTGTCAACGCCAAAGAAAGATAAAACTGTATCATAATCTCATGAAACTTAGCGGATTTACGAGAAAAGCTTTCAACAATTTTCTTGGAGAAGAGTTTCACCTACATTTCAACTCTGATCCTGACAAATATTCCTCTAGTTGCCTTTGGAATTTTCATCTCCTTGTTGCAGCATATAGAGACCATGGTGTTAATAGTCTTTGATGAAAGAAAACACACCGCACATTTCTTTGAATATTGGAGTTACATTGTGCGTCGTTAAGGAAATGTTTTTTTTTGTCGCTTTTGACGTGTTGGGGAACCGACTGGATTTCCCTCTCTCTATACTCCGTGTCTAAGAGACTGAGTGGAGCTCTTCACTACAACTATAGCTAATAAAATTGAGAAATAGTTCACAAAACATATCTTTGAAACACATTTCAAGCTCTGTTTTAATATCAAACGTTATATAAGTTTAGCCTGACACAATGTGACTCAGGAAAAAGCTCAGTTGTCTTCATCCCGGCCCATTCGTCGGGGTAATTATCCGGGGTATTTATTCTCTCGCGTCGGCGTCGACTCCCAGCTTCACTGTAAGTAATAAACAACAAGGGGATGTTTCAGTCCTCTTTGTCTTTACAAATTTTCAGGACTACCACACACGTTATGTTCCGATTTGTGCGCGCAACCAGGTCATTGAAAAGATTTTTGATTAAGCTTTGAAAGCAGCTGAATTTTTTTTATTTATCTACCTATAAAACTATTAGAAACTTCACTTAATCAATAACTTTACACCTTTTCTCTTGAGTCGAGGCCTGATAAGTGGCTTGTTGATCGCAGGGTTCGTTAGCTCCTTCAGATCAGAACACTTGTTTATCATGACATCATGACAAGTGGATGTTAATGGCCAAAGTCTTCTGAAAGAGAACGTTTAAGTTCGATTTTACGTGTTTGTTATTGAGAGCGTCAGGTTACGAGATTTCTATTTAAAAACTCTTACCTTTAAACCAATTATTTATTTTTACCGAAATAACATTCACTTTGCCTATAGCAAGTGGTTACCTCAACTGGATGATAGAACTACTGTTAGCATTTTGTTAAAAAGAGGGCAGAACTTTTCTACCGTTACAAAGTTGCGATTTATCGCTTCACCAGTGATTTACAAAACATTCTCAAATACACTTTTTTCGTCATAATGTCTGCAAAGCTCTGCTGTCGGGTATCCTCCGTGAGTACCCTGGGTCTAAAAGGCTGAGCGTATGCGACTATTTCCACTCGCCACTGTTTTTTTAACTCCTTTCGTTGAATTGAAATACGGAAAGAGTATGATACCCATGAAACTACATGAATTAACGACGCGCGAGGCTTCGGACGTTATTACCAGGTTTAAATCACACGCTAGAGGAAGGAGAATACAAAGCTTTTTTAGCACATCAGGAGCAAAATCTTATTCACGTAGCGCGAAATTTAAATACACGCACATTAAACAATCGAGCAAATGACGATGGTCTACTACATGATTCAACGGCGCGGTAGGCTTCGGACGTTAATACCAGGTTACACATGCTCTCATTACCTTTGCATAGCACAGTGAGCCTCTAATTGAATAAATTTACCGGGTAATAAATTCTTCATAAATTTGCAGCAGCGCCTTTCACGCTTAATTCAGATTTGCTCGCGCAACCATGTCATGGAAGCGATTTTTGATTAATCATCCAGTGACATATGAAATTGTTTTTTCTTTTCCTTTTATATATATATAATTATTTGGAGCTTCCTTCACCTTATGAATGATTTTAAGATGCAATTTACCTCCAAACTTTTTTTTACCCTAATCGAGGCCTGCTAAATGGCGTGTTGATTTTAGGTCTCGTTCGTTCCTTCTGATGTCAACCCTGTCTCGGGTCATAAAAAAGTGATCGTTATAACTGTGATTTCAGTTGTATAATCAACAAGAAAATTCTGTCATCTTAAGCCGTGTCTAACTGATTTCTGGACCTTTTGTCAAACGAAAAACGCCTTCATGATCTATATTTTAGGTCTTTCCGAATTGAAACTCTTCTCGATTGAACCTTCATTACCGGGTCGAGTCAATACAAACCTATCAAACAGGAAGCAGGCCACGAGGCAAATTACAAGAAAAACAGCAACAACACGACCCATGTTGAATCCTCTCAGCAAAGTATAATATCACATGTTCAGGATAGAGCTAACAAAGGGCTTCCGATCTAAAAGAAGCACTTGACCTACATTTGTTCTGCTGACGTGACTTTGACTTTTATCCTCTTGCTACTCTCACTTAGTAAGTACTCCCCTCGATTTGGTGCCCTCCTTCCCCCCCCTCCCCTCCCCCGAAACTTGAAATAATCGCCCGACGCTTATTCGAAGAAATATGGTAAACAGTCAGTACACTTCTTTGTTCTGAAGGAGAGCTAACGCTCGAAACGTCCACTTTAAAAACCTTACGGTGGCAAATATGCTTTATCAGCTTAGTTGATAAAACCAAATTATTTTGTAATACCCCCCAGCGACGCAGCATTACAATTTCTTTAGAAACTTAACCCCTTTAATCCAGAATATTTGGCTGTAGCTCACTGCTATTTCTAGAAAACACTATAGAGCACTTTGGGATTAAAAAACCCCGCGTTTTTCCACCTAATAAAGAGTGAAAACGAAAACTGGTGAAGCGGTAAGACTCCAAAAAAGTAGTTCTTTAGAAGTATTCTTAGAGTGCTTACAAAAAGTTTTTGTTGTTATAGATGCTCATTTTTCTGCTTGTTTACAATTGATAGTACAAGCCTTGGATTAACACAAAGGCCTGGTACATGTAATAGTAATGATATAATCAGCAAACATAACAAAGTAGTCTCTCTGATCAAATTTTGCACCACAGGGTGAACATACCCTGTGCCCCACTTATAAGTTACAAGAGCCATTTCGGCAGTCTGATATTGAAGTATTCTGAAGTGGCCTACATAAAACTGCATGGGTGAGCTCGTTTTATAACCAATAGTTAATATTCTTAAAGCTTACTAAGCCACATGAAACGTTCAAAGTTTTGTTATTGATGAAACTGTCTCCATTCAAGCCGTAGATATATTTGTCATCGTTGTATGTTTCATTTAAGTGTATGTCATTCAGACCGTCCGTCTACGTGATTTCTGTTCGCAAACTCCTACCTTAAAAATGCAAAATGATATTCACCTTATTCCCAACAAGTGGGTACCTCAAATGATTAGACGCTATTGTTTGCAGTCGTGTCTTTATCCAGCGTTTTGCATGAAGACAAATTATGGTAATTTATTTCATTTGTTTTCAGGGGCAAGGTAGGTTAGGTTCGAAAGAGAGAGACAGGTGAAAAACAAATAAAAGAGGTATTTGAGGAGTCAGCACATTTCCAGTCTTTTATTGCGTTATTGAAGTGATCTGTATACACCTGTGTATGACTTACAATGAGATCAATAAAATCTCCCACTGATTTAATTCCTTCATCAAATGTGTCAGATGCGAAACGTGGCTCAGTATAAAAAATAACAACAACTATATACAATATTAAATCTAATTCTTCCCTTTTAAAATCACATCATGAAAACAAATAATTGCCCCTCAATCGTTATTTTCTGGACCTAAAACGGGAACTCCTAGATAAAGCATCCACAGGCTTGAAAGGAAAGCCCAACGGCTTGAATAGCTTACAGCTCTAAGTCTCTTCCGAACGTTGGCGAGCTCTAGCTTTGCTTACACCTACTTACTGCTTAGTCAGAGATTATAAACGATGAACGAAATCCTTAGTCTGCCCATACTCTTACTAGTTTTCTTTAGTGTTTGTCGTTGATAAGTCTCCCTGCCTATCCAAAAACTGACATTTGAACTTAGAGATTGGCGAGAGAAGAAATTTGAGACCACACTGTAAGTGTGGATGACTACAAAACTTCGATGTTGATCAAGAGACTATTCTAGCGCTAAATGTACTCATCTATTTTAGGACAGGTTTATTCCACATTTTCAAACTAAATTTACACTAATTCCCATGCACCTACCAATAAAACTTTTCGTAAGAATTAAACTTGGAACAAATGCATTGAATATTCAACAACGTGATCAAGACCAAACGGGTCGGCCTCTTGTGATCCGAAATAATGTAACAGACACTGTCTACTCTAGTGGGTGTGTAAATGTACATCTGAGTCTATGCAAAACTAGTGAATACCACGTGTACGTATTGGCACCTTTGGCTGAAACTGAGAGTATTAAATTAATTCTGCGAGAATTAAATCAAATCTATGAGCAGTGGCTGCAATAATTATACTATAAGCAGTCGTAAGCTGATATTTCAGTTGTGATAGCAGAATACATCTCGTAAAGTTAAAAACCAGGTGAACACAACATCTCAAAAGAAAGAGTCAATAAGTCCATTAATCTGGTAACTGCTTTCTTGCTCCTACACGTATGTACCTTTCTTGGCTTGTCTCAGCGGGGGTGAATCCCACATTGCCGAACTTGTACGTTGGTTAAACCGTTTCTTCTTTGTGGCGTGCTTGAAAATATCTTCTAAATTCGGCTTAGGAACATCGTCGAAGATACTGTTAACATCTATGTTAGAATACTCCTGGTGAAAAATGGCGGCTTTCAGAGCGGGTGGTCGCGCCCATGACGGTATCCTCTTCCTGGGGTTGTCTTCATCGTCAGTTGACTCATCGCTCTGTAGGTCAGCAATATTGTAGTTCTCTGATGAAGCCGGTTTTCGCACCTTCACTGGAGGCGGGGTCATCTCGTAAGAGTTGCAAGTCGTGCTGGAATTCAATTTTTTATTTTCTTCCGCGAGTTTACGTTCCTCGAGGACACGCGTTCTTTCTCTTTCGATCTGCTCCTGGCGTTTCTTCTCGCGTAAGGCTGCTTCTCGTTCTTCCTTCAACTTCTTCTCTCTCTCCTGGCGCTCTTTCTCTTCCTTGGCGCGCTGTTCTCTTTCTCGTCGCGTGTGTTCTTCTTTCTCGCGGATAAGCTGTGCAATTCTCGCCCTCTCCCTCTCCTCCTTCTCTTTATCTTCTTGTGCTTTTTTCTCGCGCTCAATCCTCAGTTTCTCCTCTCGTGTTTTTCTTTCTTTTTCTTCTTTTTCGCGAAGCCGTTTCTCTTTCTCTTCGATAGCCTTTAGCTTCTTTTGTTTCTCTAACTCTCGCTCTCTCTCCAGCTCCTTTTCCCTGTGTTCTTGGTGGCGTTTGGCTTCAATGATCCTTCGTTGCCTCTCCTGCTCTTCTAACTCTTGTCTTTTCTGAAGCATCTCACGTTGTCGTTTCTCCTCTTCTTCCTGTTCCTTTATTTTCTGCAGTCTAGCAGCCTCTTCTTGTTTTTTTCTACCTTCTATCTCAGCTCTTTTTTGTATTCGCTGTTTCTTCTTGTCCTCGTCCTCCTTTTCCTTAAGCTTCTTGGCTTTTTCCATCAGGATCTGCCGTTGATCTTGAGCCTGACGTTTCTTTTCTTCCAACGCCTGAAGTTTGGCCACTCGCTGTTCTGCGGCTTTTTTTGCTCTTTCTTCTCTTTTCCTAAAACGAGAAGAAAAATGGACGGATAGGGTAAATATCAAAGTAGCTAAGTGATGGCTTGCGAAGGAAACACTACCTTAGAGAGGCATTCAAGTGAACATGCAGATAAAAACTATGTAGGTTCAACGTTTAAAAACACTTTATATTTGTACCCCTGCTTATACTATCTCTAATACCAAATAAAACTATTTATTAAAAAACAGACCATTAAAAAAGTCTTATTCCATTTTCCGCCATCCTATATGCATAACAGGTTAAACCTGTATAAACCTGTGTAAGTGACCGTATGATTCAGGGGTACAAAAATTGAAATCCAGTATGTTCTTAAATGCCAGATAAAAAAGTGGCTTGTCCGAAACTTAGGTAAGTGCACGAGAGAAGTTACTTAACTGATAAGGAAACTTGATTTCCTCGAAGACCTGGTTCAGTTTGTTTCTAGCCTTGATATTACATATTTTACCTTTTTCGTTCCTCGATTTCTCTCTGCCTTTGAATCTCAAGTTGTTCTCGCCTTTCTTTCTCTTTTTCCTCTTTTTCTTTTAATGCATTGCGTAGCTGTTTCTTTTTTTCCTGCAATCAAAAACATCCCGATAAATGATCACCAATTCACCATGTCAATATGGTTAAAATAAGCTCCACCCTAATGTGCTTACTACATGTACCTATCACTACATTGATACCAATTTGTAATACTGACTCGAGAAAATTTCCTCATAGTAAACAGAATTATTTGATTTAGCGCCTTAGCGCTTATTTTCTTACACTGCCTCTACAGAGCTCACATATTCAAAACGGGGCTCTTGGTAGGGACAGGGCACTTATTTCTTTTATGAGAAACAGCAAAACGTGCAAAACAAAGCTTTGATAGGGGCATTTATTGAAACGAGGGTGCTTATTACTAAATTAAAAATCTGCCAATCTTATTCAGCACCTTATCTGAGAAAACTGTAAATTTTGACCTGCATGTACACTGTAATTTATCAATATGACAAAGGGTTTTCATAAAGAAATTATAGTACATGTAGCAAGAGAAAAGTGTAAAGTGTAAAAGGAGGATATTCTCCATGCTTGATTAAGAATAATAAGACAATAATAATAATAATAATATAATATTAATAATAATCATCATCATCATCATCATCAAAACTAATTCATGCCAACAAAACTGGGGAGAGAATTCTGTGCAACAGCTGGGAATTTTGTGATGTTCAGGTTGAACACTCTATGGAGCACCCTGTACACCAAGCTTTTAATTCCAATGGATTTAGCTCATAATGATTTTCTTCATGCATTACGTGATACAACCCTTTGACCCCTTATAGTGACCAGCATCTAATTTCTCCTTTTCATTATCACCCCTGAATCAAACATTAGGGTCACGACAATTAAGTAAATGACTACTGACTGGAGAAGATCTTGATAGGTAAACAAATTCTCCTTGTCAGCACCTTAGAAAATGTATAAAGAACAAAATGGAGAATATAGAGACTCAGGTTAGGTTACAGAGGATTACTTAATAAAAACCATTTTTGTGGGGTGTTGTATTAAATACTCTGAAGGTGAATGGTACTGGAAAATCAAATATGTGATGCCTACCTCTGGATCAACCTTCTTGGGTGTGTTTCTTCTGATAAATGAATGGACCACAGCTATGTTATTTGGTTTAGACTGAAACAAGATAAAAAAAAGAATGTTGGGATTTTTTTGCATTGCTTTTGCATTGTAAGCTATGGTACAATTGAACATGTGACAAATTCCTTACTGTTTACTGTATGCACACTGTTCAGTCATATGTATATTGTTTTGCCTTCCAGTAACAAGGAAACCTTGGAATTTCAAGAAGCATAATGCAAAATGTGTTTTATCCCACCATCAACTACAGTTTTAAAATTGAGGTTTTTTTTTATCATATGCATAACATTAGGTGTATTAAGAGGTATTTATCTTGTGATTCTTTACTGACATTTATTCATGCATTTATTACTAGTTGCTTAGACTATTGTAACAGTCTCTTGTATCATTATCTAAATTACAGATCTTAAAATTACAATGTATTCAGAGTGAAGCAGTTGAACTTGCTATGAACAAGCATTCACAAGTTACATCAGCACTTTATGATCTTCACTGGCTGCCAGTACATGCTCATATTCATTTTAAGATATTAGACTTAGCTTTTAAGGCAATTCATGGATTAGCGTCACTGTATATTAGTGATTTTATTAGTGTTAGGCAGAAGTCCTCTTACAATCTTAGGTCTGATGGCACCTTGTTACTAGAGCCATCCAGAGAGAAAAGGCTTTCTATGCTTGGTGCTAGATCCTTTATGCCACTGCACCATGTTTGTGGAATAGTTTGTTTGCTGAATTGAGTGCTATCCCATCATTGATAATTTTTAAATGCAATCTTAAGACCTACCTTTTTGGTCGGGTTTTTCTTTAACTGTCTTAGACCAGATATTTTATTTAGGTTTTATTGGGTATTATTTATTCTGATTTGTTTTATTTATTGCAAGTCTCATTTACATTTTACATGGTATACTTTGATTGTTGTTGAATAGTTTTATAGGTGAATTATTATAAAGCACTACTGATCATTTCTATACATAAAGCATTATAGAAATATTTGAATTATTATTGAGTTATTATTCTAAGAGTAAGAGTAGATTTTACCTTGTGTGAAGGATTCAAAGTCTCTTGTGAAGGGGGTGTCATTGGATCTTCTAACATCTCCCTTGAGTTGGGTGCAGATTCTTCACCACTGCTCCCATCACTTGCTTGCACAATGATCACGGAAGAATTGGCATTTTCCAGAGTGGGTGAATGTTCACTGCAAAGTTTCAATTAAAATATGTATGAATCAAAAGTCTGACAACAGAGCCCCCCGTTAATAAGACTTACTGTAAAAAAGAAAAAGTATTCTTTTAACATTTACATGTTATTGGAAAACTGGTTTCAGCCATGTACTCATACATCTCATGACAGCAGGGATACTAGAATAATCCTCAATTTTACACCTCTATTTTCCAAAAATATAATAAAAGTCATAATAATAATCTTAATAATAATAATAATAATAATAATAATAACAACAAACCCTTCGCACTAGCTTAGTAGTCAGTAGTTTAGTTTTACAAGTAGGCATAACATGGAAAATGTTAATAAAGGTACAAACCTTTTTGTTTCAGTGTATTTCTCATCATCTGCCTCAACAATGTCTTCATTTTCAGATCCTCTACAGTCATGAAACACCTCCAATTCATCCTCTATGAATTCCTGTTCAATCTTCTCCACCAGAACTTCAGCTTTGTCCTCGGAGCTGCTATAGCTACTGTTAGTGGCAGAGCTTGCACTTTGACTACTGTTTTCACTTGTTGAATTATCAAACAGACGCACTTTGACATCTTCTAGGTTAGATTCTATATTTTCACCATTGGTTTGCTTTTCAGCACTGTGTATCTTCAATTCTGGCATGAGCTTTGAATGTGTCAACTTCAGTTTCACTGAACTTTTGACCAGGCTCTTCTTTCCAGGAACTTTTGATTTGGCTACTTTCTGTTTCATGGAAAGTCTTCTATTTGAAGGAGATCTGTTGTTGCTCAATCTTTTGCTCTTTCTACGCCATCCACTGCTTCTTCCTCTACTCCTCTCCAAAGATTTTTCTACAGGATTGGGTTCAAGTGTAGTTTTCTTAGGGACAACTTCTTTAGATAAATCAACTTTTGCATTCTCAGAGACAGGATTGTTTTCGTCATTTGATAAACTTCCCACTCCAGTTACCACATCATCTTTATTTTTAGCAGTAGAGGTTTCAATAAACTCTTGGCATGAAACATGTGCTTTGGTGGGTGATTGTTCATGTGTTTCACTATTATTGACCAGAGGTTCCTCATCAAGAACTTGATTTTCCTCCAACGTAACATTCTGCAACCCAAGTTCTTTTGAAGCACAAGAATTTGGACTTTTCTCATGACAGAGACTTGATGACATTATCGGTATCACCTCATCACCATTTGGAGTGCCCAATGCTGGTGATTGTAGGACTACATTGATGGATGTTTTGCAGATCTTGGGAGATGTAGTTGGTGTCTTGGCTTTAATAGGAGAGGATTGCAGGGTTTCTGAAACAAGATCAGGCTCTGTTTTTGCTACACTATCTGTCAATTTGTCGTTCTTTTCTGTGTTTACTCTGATTTGCCCCGCTTGTGATTTCTTACAAGTTGATACAACTTCTTGTTTAACAATTAACAAGGGTGTGATATCACCAGAATCCTTTGAGATGAGATCTGTACTTGATTTAGTTATCTCTGCTACAGGTTTCCTTGGTATTTTTTCTGATAGCGACGCATCAGAATTTTCTTCCACCTCTTTCCGTCTTGAACTTCTGGTGGTTCTTCTGGGCAAGTCTTTGACTTCATTACTTGATGATGAGCGAATCGATTTTTCCTCTGTTACTCTGGTTAATTCTAAATTCGTCTTCTTAGGATTTCTAGTGGTTCGTCTCGGCTGTTCGTCGATGAAAGATGAACCTGGAGTTTGCTCTTTTGATGCATTTCCTATATCTGAGAGATTCTTCTTTCCAGATCCTCTCTTTGGTTGTTGTCGTGCTGCTCGTGAATTAGCCCTAGTCGCTCTCGTCGTTCGTTTTGTATCATTATGATTACATTCCGTGTTCACTGCACTGCAGTCCAGCAGTTCGTTTTCATTGATTACCTTCAGTGGCGAGGCGTATCCTTGAGTCTTGTGAGTTTTTGCTTCCCTTGCCATTCTCGATGAAGCATCATCGCTTCTATGCTCCTCATCACTCTCCTGTCGCTTTCTTTTCATGGATGGCGTCTTTGGAAGAAGAATGTAACTGTCTCTCCTAAGATCACAGAACAGAAGCACGTCATAAACAAAAAAACAGATACGCAAAGTCTAATGATTTCAAAAAGAGAAACTCTAGAGAAAATCTTACCGTCCAAAGGACTGCTTGGCTTCCGATAGAATCTCATAAAGATACTTAAAGTCATCTTCGATTTCTTGTTGGAACTTTCCTATCGCTTCTTCAGCTCGAATATGCAAAGAAAACCCCAGTGCCATTTCTTTCGTCGGGTTATTGAAGACCGCCATTAAAAATTTCACCGAGTGGTCTTCACCTTCATACAGCCGATTGAAAATGGATTTTCTTCACGAATTTGCTCTTTTAAACGAACATATTCCTCGATTAACTTTTAAGCCTTAAATATTGGCAATCTTTTGGTTTCAAAAAGAAAAATAGTAAAAACAATTCCCAACGAAATGAAATATGCTCGAGAACTCAAGTTTGAATTTACCGTAAACCTGTAATAAGCCAATCACATTCCTCTTTTCATATTTTGCGCCAGCGATCATAAATTACCTCTAAGTCATGCGCAAACTTATGCAAATATAAAAACGGTGGTCTCCTGTGCGTACATAAGGAGACTTCCTTTAAAGAATTGTTGATGGCTTGACTCGCCCCAAAAAAGCCTTTCTTTAGTGATTTTTATATAAATTACCCTGGTTTTCCAAGGGATAAGTACGTTTAATCCATAGGAAAGTTTCTCGTCAAAAACTTTTGTGGGGAAACCCTTCTAAGTGGAAACATTCACGTGGATGCTTCCTTCTTTCATCAAAACATGCCGGGAATTGTTGTGTTTAGGCGTCGCTGGATGGTTGCAAGCGATGATTTGGTTATTCCGTTTGGAATTGCTTTCGTCCTTAGAGGAATATGGTAAGGAAAAATGTTCTATTCCACGCTGTTAATGGCATGTAATGATGGATCTTGGGAAGTATGCGAGCATGTTTTATGTGTACGTTCCGTTCTACACAAAATGTTTGACGTAAAGATACTTTAGAAAAATTCTACAACTATTCGACCTTATGGGACATGCCGTAAGCGTACAATCGTGTTATAAACCATGTAATTATTTATATCACGGCTAAAAATGTCTGTAAGGCAGATTATTATATTGCACCCCTCTTTTCGGAGCTTACCTACATGTAATTGGAAAGGAGGCATGTGCAATACTCCGCAAAACTCGATTTATTTAGGAAGTCCGCTATTGTTCTGTTGCTATTCAATTTCATGCTTCCGTAACTTAAGAGAAAGATGTATGTTTGCACAGCAGATAATTCTATTTAGCCGTTGATCGGTGTTATTTTTCGTCCCCAGCTATTAGTGATAATTAAATTCTCGAGTTTTGGAATGTTCTTTCGACAACTCAAGTGGATTTATCTACGTGTCGAAATCTTGTTTTGGAAACTCTATAATCTTCGAGCTTTAGGTATCAAATAGTGATTCACATCTTCTCTTCAAGGGTACTGTAAGTTGCCAGAGTAAAATTTGGTGCATCGATATGTATGTCGTGTAATTTAGTTTGAAATAATTGAGTGATGGGTGAGTGAAACGATTGCGTGCTTTGTCTTCTCAGTGAGATGAATTTATCGTCTACACCCTGCAGGTCTCGCGTGGTGTTGTAGTCTGGTTTAAAAGTCTTATATTTTCACTTTCAAGACACTTTGTAATATCGCAATGAAAAATGGAATAGAGACGTTTTTTGTAGTCAGGAGAGAAATTCAATCTCATGTTCTTATATTGACCGTAATGCGGATATTCAAAATTACGTTATTTCTGCAAAACAACAAAATGCTACAATTACTTTTGATTCTATTTTTCCTCTTTGCGATTGTTGTCCATGTGCAATGGCGTTTTTGTTGCTAAAGATAACTCTGCACTGCATATCCTGCAACACAGCCCAGTGCATTTTCATCAAGCCACAGAATCAATCTTCTGCTTATATTTAATTTATAATTTGGAAAACTATGCAATGTCTAATCTGCTCCATGTTAGATCTGGATATTGTCACTAGTGTTCAGAATTTTCCAGCATTCCAAGAATAGACTGAGTTGAGAAAAATAGAATTAGTTGATTTTCTTAATTTATTACCTCCTATGTGGGATAATTTGTAAATTTCAATTAAAAATTGCCTTGTCAAATGTTTGAATGAGTTCCAGGCTTGTGGTTTTCTGAATTTCTTAGTTTTAGAATCTTAACGACATTAATGTATTCAAGTATCTATCTTTCTAAAGGATAGATAATTATTGGAGTATCGTGCTTGGATGGACTTCTATGTTTAGTGAATAGCTTTATTTTTAATTTTTAAGAGTGTTTTCAGCCAGTGAAATCAATTATGTTGGGAAAACAGATCATGTGGATGACATGTGTGTCAATTTGTCTTTGCCATCTGTTTTTATGTGGCTTGTGGGTTTGATATCAAACAGACTGGCTTTACTAAAGATTAAACGTATTGTTTTCAAACTTGGATATCAGACCAACTGTTTTATCAGCTTTGTAGCAGATAGCTCACACCTTTCTTTTCCTCCGGCATCTTGTTTATAGATGTTTGGAAATATTTATAAAAAAGTGGCTGCAGGGCAATTGAAATTTGTACTGGGGCAATTGCTTGGCTCTATAAACACTGTGTTTAAAACTATACAGCAATTGTAAACCTCAAAACACTGTCTGGTTTGATTCGTTTGTATTAAATTTGAAATTTCTTATCAATGTTACTTTAGCTTTGATTGTAAATACTTTAACAGTTTGTTTTGTTAAAAAAAAAAAAAAAAAATGAGGGCTTTGTGTATTCTTAGTCCTCATTGAACTTGGACCCAGCTTAATTGATTTAGAAAGAGTTGTGATTTGAACATTGAAGTGTTCCTTTTAAGTTTTTCCATATATGGAAAGGATCAGCAATCATCCCTTGCAGTGAATTATTAAATAAGATGGTGGTCGATAAAGAATTTTCCTACAACTTCCTCTCTTTATAGAAGGTCAGTTAGTATCAAACATTGGTTACTTACATGTAGTTGTAAGAATATTTTGTCTGAACCAATTTTAAGTTTTTTTCTCTGATTTTGTAATATTTTTAGAAAAAAGATGTTTTGTCATATAGCTCATCATTCTCATGCTAATGTGAAGAAAAAATGTAGATAATGTCATCACTAACCACACAAAAGAAGGTCATGGTCAAAGAAGTTTTTGGTCTAATTAGTCTAAATCATGCTTGTTTTCCCCTGACCTTCATAAACTGTATCTAATGAAATTATTTTAGGTCACATCATAAGATTTGGATGTTATGTATAATATTATGCAGTAGAATTATAAACTTGAAAATTGTTTCAGTTTTCCTTCTAAAAACAAGCTCATTATATATAATATCCTTATTAAACATTTACCGCAAAGAAACGTTGCAATTCAAACCAATTAAAGGGTTTCTGGTGGAACGTGCTTACATGTAGATTGCAGTTTTGACCTAAATGCAATTTTTGAAGCATTTAGCCAAGTCTCTCTCTCTATTTGAGCACAGTATTTTTCATAACTTTGAATTAAACAAATTCTGTTATGTTTAGTGCAAAATTGTATAAAAACAATTCATTTTCACTTGATGTTATCTTCTGTTAAGTGACTAATGAAATGCTGTCAGAAAAACCATATTGTTTGGTTCAGCAATGAATTTATTAAAGGAATGACTCATTTCTTCCAAATTACTGTAGCTCAACAGAGTGTGTTGTTGTTTGTGTTTCTCCTTGAAAATGGAAGAAACATTAAAGATAGAATTGACAACGAAGGCTGTGTATCATGAATGAAAAAGCCCCAAGGCAGAAATTTGGATTTACTCTGACTCAAATGAACCAACTTGACTGACCCAACAAATTGAAATTGGAATGTTACACAACGTAGTAAATAGTTGGTTAAATAGTTAGTTAAATGTATAATTACTATTTCTTGTGTCATACAGTTATAACATATGAAGGCACAGTATTTAGCATGAAAAAAAGAAACAGAATAAATGCCAGAATGTTGCATTGTGATGAACTGAAGGAGTAGTATACAGTCGTGTAATTAGTGATATTTATTTGTTATGAACATCCTGCTGTGTAAAGCAGTCTGTTTACACGTATAATGCAAATTAACTTCTTTCAACTTCAAAGGTCTTGCAGAGAAGTGACAAGTTCTTCATCATTTTCTAAGCATTTTCTGGTACTGTATTTTCACTAAAGGACATGTTTACACACTGTACAGTCAAGGAGATGTAAAGAAAACACAACCTTTGCATAACAAGTGTACATTTTTCAATGTATGTCATGGTGTCTTTACAAATATACAATTCTGAAACCCTGTGACAAACAGAATAGTTAGTTTCTTCAAGATGGGGCTATTTGTTAGTTTCTGTTCAATGTGTATAAAGTGCAGAGTTCTCCAGATTTTCTTTTTTTAGCTAGCCTTACAAAACAATAGTGGGGGAAAACAACTGGGTGGCCAAGCGCAAGCATCCAAATTATGTATTTCCCTTTCCTTTGATTGTCATTTTCTTACTGGTTTGAATAGATCTCCTAGGGGTTATACAAAGCCAGAGCAAATGTTTTATTTTATTGTAGATATATTTTTTCCCCATCAAACAAGCCAGCCCTTTAGAAATGAGTAGCCAGGGTAAATGCCAGCTGCCATTGCTTCTTGTCAGAACACTGAAACTAATGGTCACTCTTTACATAAGCAGACACCAAGTTCTTTCTCCTTCTTATCCTCTGATGTTTACTGCAAATAAACCTGTTTCAAGGCAATACCTCTATTGAGTGGATGGAGCGGACACTGAAATAGGCTTTACTTCAGATGTAATACTGTATGTTATATAAATGCGGAACATTTTTGAAAACATATCTTGTGCAATGCACCTTACTATCACCATATTATTAAAAGAGTCCGAATTGTTGAACTGCATACTGCAATGACCAAACTCACCTACTCTGTTTCCAACTGTATTTGCCAACAGATTTTCTTTTTAATCAACAAAATGATGACACAGAGCTTATACAATGTGTATTAAATGGAGACACTACACGGTTGATTTCATAAAATAGCCCATAAAATTAACTTAAAATACAGTTTGCACTGCATCAGACCATAAATTTCACCTTTTCATCATAGCAGACTGGACATCATATAGAACTTTGTACCAAATGGATAGCCTGTATTGATCAGACACTAGTAAGAATCTAGTAGGTGTCTGCTTGCTACAATGCTACGTGTTTCACGGAGTTGACACATAGCTTTGCTCGTGATTCTTTGTTACATAATAATTTCCAGGATAAGTTGATGTTAACTTTCACAAAATGTTTGCAACGGATGTACATGTGCTTGTGATTATGAAAAGGTTATAATTTGAGTCAAATCTCTTTTTAAAATGGTTGCAAACTAATCCTTTTAATCCTAACCCTAAGCAAAAAGGAAGCACTATGTTGCACAAATGCTTTGACAGAGGGCTAAGGCTTGAAATCGTACATGCTGCTTTTTAAAATTTGCTTGGGCAACTTATTTTCCTCAATCAAGAGTAAGGAGTAATAAATATGAAATGTTAATGAATAAATCAATTTAACTTTGGATCCTAAATGCAAACTAAGTAATAATGAAATAGCAGTTTCCTTCACTGGTTAGGAAATTGGTGACATTTGCTGCAAATGTAGAGCTCAAAATTTTGTTTGATTTGCCAATTAGGGACCAAAAATATCAAAGCTTGTTGCACTGAATTACAATTTTTAATGTTACTAGTGTTTTTTAGGAATCTTTGCTTCACTCTACTTTTTCGTTTTGGTTTGGATCAAGAAACGTTTCAGCAGATTTGGTTAGTTTAACCCAGAGAAAATTAAATTTTTGGTTGGCGCTTTGTATGTAGGTTTATAAAGGGAAGCCCTGTACATTTGTTTGCTTGGCCTGTGAGTAAGGTCATTTACTCTCCCTTCCCTCTGGGTATAGTATAAGATTTCTACTAGACAGTGATGTGTAACCTTTGCTTTTGGTGGTTGTAGCTTTCTGGGTTTCCATAGAAACCTTCCCTGTGCACGTATGATTAACACCCACCAATTCCAATAGGTCCCTTTTGGGTTCTTACGGTTCAGTGATCTGGTGCTGAAATTACGGCATGAAGATGAGGCTAAGTGCGAAGCCACTATCATTGATATAGAGAATAAAGTGCTGTGATGGTGAAAATGCGAAGAAAATTCTCAGAATTCAGTGTGCGAGGGTGAAAAATTTTTGTGGGAGAGAGGCATCAGCTAAGTGATGGTGGCAAATGGAAGAGAAAAGCAGAACTGTTGGATTTATGCAAGAGATGAGATTAGTGAACTGACCCATTCATCCTTCCAGCTGGTAGCTTAGTTTTCTGCACATCTTGTGTAGGGTGAATTACAGATTTACCATTTTGCTAACTACAAATTACTGCAAATTACAGATTTCTTTTTCAAAAAATACAGATTTTGAGTTCATTTCAAAAATAACTGATTTCAATTTCTTTCTGCAAACTACAGCAATTACTCGCTATGAATGAGTAAGACCTAAAACAACAGTTAAATGATGACATCAAAACAACTTAGGCAATGCTGAACAAAAGCTCTGGAATGTTAGAGAAGCTGTACGTCCAAGAATTTAAAATTATTGGTACTGGAAATTTGCTTTCACTTATTTGTAATTTCTCCTCCAACAGTTTTTCACGGTCTTTGGGAGAAGAGGCTATTCTTCATTGCTGCAGTTTCATGGATAAATAGAACAGTTCTGCTTTTTTACAGAGAAAGTTTGACTCGTCATGTTTTAGTGAGCAGTGGAATCAGATAGCCGCTCACATCAATACGAAATGTAGAGGAAAGAGGAGAACTCTTATTCACAGACTTGCGAAAACTAGTTTGTTTTGAAAACACTGAGATGGCAGAATTAGTCTATCATTTAACATAAAAACATTATAGGTCGGTTAATTGAACAGAGTTTAGCCATTTTTCAACAAAACTACGTTCTTTTTCACTATTATGGCACTTCAATCTTTATGCTGATGAGAGCGACTTCGCACTTAGCCTTGTCCTCGTGCCATAATTTTGGCACCAGATCACCAAACTGCAAGAACTTGGGAGTGGCCTATTCTCATTTATTGGTGATAAATTAGATTTGACTGCTTGTAAATATGTGGTCAACTTTCTTTTATTTCATTTTCAGGATGATTGTATTGTCATTAGCTGTTGGTATCTATCATGGCTTTTACCACCTGCACCAAGCTGACGAAGAAGAAAAACATATTTGTGAACAGACCCTAGATTATTTTATGGGAGGCTACTTAGCCCTTCTTTTTGCAACAAATATTATGGAACTTTCCATTGCGTGGATGAGTGGAAAGGGGTCCATCATGGACACTGAACCTCGAAATCTAATACCACAACTTCTCTATGTTCGTCTTGTCCTTGCTATCTTGGAAGTCCTATGGCTTTCAATAGGAATAAAATGGATATTTATTGATGGCACAACATGTGAATTGACTCATGAGATTTATATTTCAAGAGCAATTGTGATTTTCAACTGGCTGTTTTTATTTACAGTTATGGTTATTATATATTGTATATTTGACTCTGCTGGGAAAATGTGGGTTGATTTTAATGAGGCACAGCTAACAGGAGATAGTATAGATGCTTCAGTCAGTTATGGTAACCACATCATGCGCAAATATGAAAAACGTTGGGAAGGATGCTTCAAGCGATGTTTTTGTTGCTCTGGAGTAGGACAAGGAGATGATAATGTCTTTACCTTTATTGGAAGGTACATAAATCTATCAATTTACCCTCTGTGATTCACTGATGTACTTGCATTGTAAACTTATTAATTAAAATATTTTGATTTTGTAATCATAATTTGACTTTATAATTGTACCCTGTACTAGATTTTCATACGATGTTTTCTCTATTGATAATAGGAAGCTTGCAGAATATTTCCAAGATTTGGATGTTGTTCCATCAGACTTTGCAGCTGGACTTGTTTTGCTAAGAAAGTATCAGAAACAACAAGAACACTATGCCCTGATGAAGGCAATTGAGCAACAACAAGTTCTAGATTCTCAGGTGTGTTTCTATGACTTGTTTGACAATTATGCAGTATAGTTGTTGTTCTTAGATTTACACTTTCAGAATGTCTGTTTGTACATCCTCTAATGATTGTATTGAATACCTGCTTATTGAAAGACTGTAAAGATTCCACTATTTCTTAAGGTTTTGGATATCATTCCTTTTGTGCCATTTTCCAGTACCATATTCTGGTTATTGTGATCGAAACATTAAAAAATGCCTTGAATAGCATTGAGTCTTCAGTTATTTTATAACAAACCACATGTGTATATGAGATGCAAGATACAACTTAATCAAGCTAGTGACTTTGGGATGAGCCATGAGCAAAAATATTTTGGAAATTATTGTCTCAGAGTATATATATTAGATGAGGACATGATCCAAAGTTTGTTCTGTTAGGAAGATGTGTATTTGATTTGTACAATGGATGTGAAGATTAATTCTGTATATGAGAGACTTGATACAGCTAGCCCATGCGATACTGAACATTAGCTTTTGGGGCTTTGAAGTAATGTCACGCACATCCTGACTTCCATAAAGTTCTCTATAAGTAAGACAAAGTAATTTGTGATCTGTGAAGATAACACCATCTGGCTATAAGCCTTTCTGGTCTGATCACCTGTTGGCATGATTTGCTTTTAATTGCGAGGAGAAGTTAGATTGGGTTCATATCTTTCTCTGATACTACTGTTTGACTATCATACAATGCTACTATGGTAACATTGCACTGTGTACTCTATGAAGCATAATTAATGCTTCTTTTCATATTTGTCTGGTGTTGCGATTTGCAGAAAGGTGTCAAAAAGTCATCACTACGCTTTCAAAGAACAAACACATCTAGAGCACTGAACCTAAAAGACAAGGTAAGGAGCCTTATTTGGTTAAGGGTAGTTACATAGTAAAAATATCCTTGCAAAAGTCTGTGTCAGGTTTTCAGTGAGTTAAACAATGCTGTAGTCAGGGGAGTAGAAAGAATTACAGTATTCATGCTTGTAACACTTTTCAATAAAATATGGAAATTATCTGCACCCTAAAAATCAATCAAAGCCTTGTTTTTGTAAGAGTGGAAAAGAAACTGTTATGGAGCATTACTTTCCCAAAACCCTCAACAATGAATACAGATGTTTTGTTTCAGGGCCACATTTGTTAGTCTTGCTTGTGTTTAAAGAGCAATTTTAATATTTCTTTCTCAATTTGGCCTCTTCTTTTTCCTACCTTTATCTCAATTTGTACAATTGTTATGTACATGTTTAATGCTCCAAAATAACCCTTGTTTCTTGTGTGATTTTAATAGTGAGAGGCCAGTTTTCTTACATTGTGAATTGTAACTGAAATTCATATTCAGTGACTTACCCTTTTGCCATAGGACATTTTACTACCTTCCACTAATAGCTTTGCTCTTCTGCTACAATTTCACTTTTAGAAAGAACTGCTTCTATTCAAGGATGTTGTTTACTACATGAACTATGCATTGTCTGCTTATGGTTGGCCAATTTACATGAAGAACAATGTAGCTTGTGGATGTTGCAAGCTCTTAAAAAGTTTCAGGTACATTAAATTGTGCACCTTTAGAACCTGTGGTACTAGTGCACCCATGTTACCTTAGAAGGGTGTTTAGGGGGGTGGAGGAGAAGGAAGAAGAGAGGGAATTTGGCAAGAATGAACAATGTACACAAAATGTGTTAATGCTTACTTAATCCTTTACACCCTAATGTCATTATGCACATTCTCCATACTGTTCTTTATACATTTTCTAAGGTGCTGATAAGGAGATTTTATATACTGATCAAAAGCTTTTTTTGTTGGTAATCATATCCTCCATTCTCATGACCTTAATGTGTGATTCAGGGCTGATATTGTAGGGAGAAATTAGGTGCTTGTCACTCCTAGGTTTAAAGAGTTAAAAGCTGTCTTACTTTGTAATGTTTATTAGACCCTTTCTTGGTACGAATTTTGATGATTAGTGCTTTGTGTTTAGTGCAACTTGTTGTCATGGTGAATTCCTTTTTTGTATAACTTAGAGGACGTGAGGATGGAACTGTTATTGCAATGTCATTCATGTTTGTTCTCTCCAAGAAGGTTATTATTGTTATGCTAACTTTTTGTCAAGTTAAGCAACACATTATTTGTTTGTTATGGCAGGTGTTGCTATCCATGTCGTCATCCAGACCCCAGGTCACAAAAGTTTGTTGACATTGAAAGTGACAACTGCTGCCGATGTAATTACTCAGCCCTAAAGAGGATAGCTAACATTCACAACAGTGATGTCATTTATGTCAGCTATCACAACAAAGTAAGTTTAATTTTACTAGTAACGTCTCCATTGTGTCCATAGGGCATCAGGGTTTTTAGAGAATTATTTGGCTACTACGCATCTTTCTGAGGTTAACTTTGGGTGATCTAGGCTAGTTTTTGTTTAGATGTGGAGAGTATTACATGCCTTATATTCTTCATGCTACTTTATTTCCTAATGAATCCTCAATTCTCTGAACTCTATTTGTTCATAATTTATCCCTCTTACCTCCAAAAGTTGTCAGCACTGTAATTCTCCTTTCATATTTGATACACAATCCAACAGACAGCTTTGGGAAATTAAGAAATTGATTATTTCCTTGTTGGTGACATTGGCTGGACTTCACTCAGCCTACAATGTATATAGAAATGTAAGGTTGTTTTTTGGGTCCGAGGGTTTTTTTCATAACAGGGCAATTTAGAATTATAAACTGAGTTGCTAACGTAAATTGGCCACCGCAAAGAGTTTCAAAGCTGACGTTTCAAGCGCGAACCTTTAGTCAGAGCGAATTAAAGCATTAGCCTTGTATCACTCTTTATTCATTTGTTTTTCCATATCTTGTTCAGAAGGGGTTAATATTTTCAAGATACCTTTAATTAACTAAGATTGAGAGAGTATATTCATAGGAACGCATACATGTCTTCTCGGTAATTTTTCTCTTTTTCCAGCTCTTTGAAACACCTTTCTTTGTGAGTGTGGATCATGTTAAAAAAGCCATCGTAGTCACAATCAGGGGAACTTTGTCACTTCAGGTAAGAAAAGACTCTTTTTCTGTCGTATGTCAGTATTCAGACATAGTTTTTTGTCGTTAAAACTTACAAAATTTATTTGCACTCAATTTATTCAAATATATTATGTTCCAGGATATCCTTACAGATTTCTCCGTTGAGCCAGAAAAAATTCCCTTGGATGATGGAGATCCAACTTGGTTTGGACACAAGGTGTGCACACTTGAAAGTTCAATCCTTTCGGATGTAAATAATTCCATGTGCTAAGTTTTGTGAACTTGTATGCTCTTCTATCTTCATTTTTTCAGGGCATGATAAGAGCTGCCCTCTACCTCAAGAAAAAATTGGAGACTGGCTATTTAGCTCAAGCTTTTCATTCTGATCCGGTATGCAGTTTTAGTTGATTGTTTTATTAACATTATACTGAGGGATACAACTTAGGTGAAGACATCGTTCGAGTCGTAATTAGCCCCCAGTGGCGGGGTGTATCTCGGCTCCCATGACGAGATGAGGTGTGAGTATCATACCTCCCCCTTTGATCACAGGCGTCCCAAGCTCATCTCTCGAGTAAAGCCTGGCCTTGAGATTAAGATTAATTCTCGGAAACGTATGTATTTATTCATGAAAGCGTCACGGGTTGTGTGACGCGGTGTGGGGTTACGCGAGGAACTGTTGAAAATTTGAACACTTTATACGAGGAATCGTATGTTGTATGGGAAACGAAATAAGGACGATTCCTTGACATGCATAACAGTGATGGCAAAGCAAACACAAAACGATAGAGGTCGCCAGAAACCACAAAGGGCACACAAGGAGTGAGTAATTTTTATTAAACTTACTTTAAATGTAAGTTGAAATGTAAAATGTTCATATTTCGCAATATTTGGCGTTGTAAATCGACTATATTTCGTTCCCCATACTATTCCTTATCAACGGGTTCAAATTCTCAACAGTTCCTCGCGGAAACTAACACCGCGTCACACAACGCTTGACTCTTCCACGAATAAATAAATACCTGTCCGAAATGTAATTTTCCGCTTTTCTCGAGACGTGAGCTTGGAACACCTGTTCCTAGATAAGATTCTATTCCATCAGAGTTACCCCGCGGATTTCGTCAGGTTTCCTTGCAGAAACTTCGCCGGTACCTGTTTACTCTCCAGGGTGGAGAGAGGCATTATAATGTGAAATTATTTTGCCCCGGGACGCAAAGGAATGTCTGTCAGGGCTTGGCCCAAACCCCTTCACCTCTACCCACCGCGTCTCTCGCATACGATATGTCAACCTTATTGCGATGATTCAGAGCGCAACTCCACTGAGTGTCGTAAAACAACAAAAGAATTAATCAAAACTACCAGTTTGAACTAATGAAAAGAGTATTTTTCATCGGGTGGTGAGAGTTTAACGTAAAAGCAAGAATCCGCTAGAAATAGATGACAAATTCCACAACTGTAAGCTCTTTAAAGGAATTCCTCAGAGGAATCATTGGAATCAATAAGAATGTCAACTCGTCAGCTAAAGTGAATGGTTTTAACTTTTAACTGCTTGGTTGAGCGGGTGGTGGGAGATTTCTTTGAAGAATTTGAAGAATTAAAAAAACTGCAGAGTTTTCGGACAAAAATTACAATTTTTCTAGAGTTTGTTGTCAGTGGTAATGTTTTCTTTTTCTTTTTCTTTTTCTCTTGACTACAGGAGAGGCACACTGAATCGTATCGCCTCATTGTGGTCGGTCACTCACTCGGTGCTGGGACAGCAGCTATTCTGGCCATGTTACTGCGACCGTCTTACCCAGATCTTTTTTGTTATGCCTTCTCACCACCCGGAGCCACCTTGAGGTGCTCACATGGTTTCATTTTACAAGTGCTTTATCCGCTCACCATAAATGCTGTAATATTCCCTCGGGGCTTACTTTGTATGACGGAGGCTGTCTTAGGAAGGATAGGAAGAGGAAAGGTCAAATTTTGAATTAATTTAAAAGCGAAAATGCGAGTCATTACTTTTCTACAAAATTTTGATGATTATCGTAAGCAGAATGCATTTCCTTGGTTTAAAAGGCTATTGTGCCTTAGACTATTACAGGTTTTTAAGCAAACACATAATTTACGCTGAAGCGCTACTTAGCCTGAATGAATGTCAATATCACGTCATAACCATTTGCACAGTATCACTCAAGCATTGTTATTTACCCTGTTTTCTTATTTTAGGATTTTTTTTACAGGGGGAGGGTTTAGGAGGGGCTGGGGCTTAAAGAGGAGAGGAGAATTTGAAGGTCTAGACAGGCGGGGCCTGAAACAAAGGGGGCTGATTCGACAGGGGAGAGGTGCCTTATTAGGGTATCCGATCACGTCGCTCACGGACCAACTTGCCCGCGCCAACTCGCTCAAGCATAAAATCATGGCATTCAAAACGTTCTTAGGACCCTTTCCATTTATCTTGTTTGTCCTAACTGTAAATTGGTTCTTCAGTGCACCGACAAGCTTGATCGATCGTAATTTATAAAAATGTTATGGTTGCTGTTTCAGTCTACCGGCGGCAAAGTATGTCCGTGATTTTGTCATCTCAGTCGTCATTGGGAAAGATATGATTCCAAGGTAATTTACGCTATTGATGTCTTCGTGAAGATCCTGTAGTTGATTGTGATACTGTGCTTTAGGATACCCTTGTGGTGGGATACTTCACGAGTTTATAAGTTTGGATGCATTTAGATTGAGCGGAGCGCAGCAAAACCAAAGCAATCCCGAATTAATTTCGACATTCAATGAAAAATTGCTCCTAAATGAAATGCCACGAAATCTAAGCTAAAAGTCTCTATCGAATTGGTCCTTAGCGCTTGATATTTGTGCTTCAACGAGAATCGAGAGTTGACTATTGAGGATGACTGATCGAGTTTCAACTTAATATTGTATGGGGCTAAGTGGCCAGTACAAGTGGAGTGTCAGGTTACATTGCGTTTTGTGCTCTATGTTTATGCTTTACTACTCTAGTTGGGAAAGCTAGATGTATTATTGCTAAATATGTATGAAAAATTAATCTACAAGTCGACACAGTAGCTGAGTGATTGAGAAGTCATGGGCGAGATGAGTTAAACATTATTTTACAGATTGAGTCTTTACACTATGGAGGATCTTCGGAACAAGATTATGGCCGTGATAAAATATTCCACCACTCCAAAGGTAAGGTAACTAGAAACGCCTAGTTCTTATAAAAATGTCTAGTTTTTGTTTCATTTTAGATGAAAATACAACTGGTGCGTTTTCATATACACCCCTGTCGTGTTATCCATTTAAAGAGGCTACTCCCCATTTTGTTATAGGGTTAATTTGGTTATCGTTTATCTGCTTCTATTCAGCAGTCCTGTAAATATAAAAAAGCTGTTTTCTTTGGACACTTCTATCCAGGCGACACCTTCTTTCACAGACACTATCTAAGTTTCTTACTGGTAGCAATGGCCTTTGCGGGCCTATAGCCTTCTTATCGGTTATCCTCATTGAAGAGGCAGTCATTAAAGGAGTCTTTTCTTAGTTCCGAGGAAGTTCCCTGAGTAGAGGTACCCCCTGCAGTACCTGTAAAAAATCCATTTACGAAAGAAGAGGCTAGAGTCCAAACGTCGTAGAAGATATGTACTACATTTGTTGAATAAACCACAACAGTTGGCTAAATAAAAACTATTGAAGTTCTTAAAATTCCAAATAAAGTGTAGCTAATTCGTGCAACTTAATTCCGTGAAAACAAATAACAAAAGTACTCGAAATAGTGACCACGTCAATTTTCCAATGTCCGGGTTATAGTTCTTTAACGATTGGCTAATTTGTGAAATTACGCGCGCCGCGAGCAGATATAAAAAGAATACGAAGGGGGGAGGGGAAGACAAAAATTATCATTTTTCAAAAATGACATTACTCGACGATGTGCTGAATTAATTCCAAACAAGAGAGGATAAAAAAATAGGTCTTTTTCGCAGTAGTAAATATTTCTTTGTTGCAGTGGAAGATTTTACGTGGATGCGTTTGCCGTTGTGCATTCGTGTGCTGTTATGGGTGCAGATGTGTCAACTGTGATGCTCAGCTACGAGATAGTGAGGCAGACTGGGAACACTTCCAGTTGCCTAACAACAAGAACTCTCAGACACCACCATTCTTTCCACCTGGGAGAGTAATTCACGTGGTCAAAACTGTGTCCGTTCCAGGGTAAGTTAAAGATGATTTAATAATTAAACGCTAGTAGACTTTACCTACCGATTATTAATCTGACTATCTGTCTTACTGTCGATCTGACTGATTGTGTATCTGTCTGTTTGTCTATCTGTCTGATTGTGTATCTGTCTGTTTGTCTATCTGTCTGTCTCCAACTTGCCCGCCTAACCGGCAGTAATTGTGATTTGTTATTTTACCATTTATTTGTTTCTTGTTCACAGCCGATGCGGTCGGAAGGGGACCATATTCGAACCGGTTTGGGCTGACTTACAGGACTTCCAGACGATTCAAATCTCAGGCCTTATGTGGGAGGACCACATGCCAGACTTTGTTCTAAAGGCGCTAAATCAGTGCCTTCCCTCCAAGGAACAGGAAGAGAGTGTTCTTTCAGCCCCAGATCCACCATTTCCTAACGTACTAGAGGTCCCTCCTACAGGATTTGTGGAGCCTAATCACTTTCATAAGCAAAATAATCACATTGCGTCAAGATCACTTCGAGAAGGTACATGAACATTTATTACTGGTTTTAAAGGGTTAGGACACGGTATTCTAGCTCGGGGGGGAAGAGGGGAAGGGAGGGATGGGAGAGGAAGGGGGTTTTGCTTAATCAAAGATGGTGTTTGACTTTATATTCAGGTCAAAGCATGCATTTATTATAGAAATGATAGAATCTTCCAAAAGATCGTGAACTGATCTATCCTCAGAACACTTGATCAGAAGCTTGTAATACAAATCGTGCAGGCAGGCATGACAATATTCATGTTTCTGATTCCGACTTAATGTGATATTTCGCGGACTATTTCGATTTCGTGAGTATTAACGTGGCAACCTAAATCAGTAATGTATGAATTCAGCCAAGTCTAAAAGGAGAGCTTGCCATCATTTAGAGCAACTTCCGGAAACACGGATTCCTTTTCTTTTTTTACGTGGTGTAGATACCAGTAGTGAAACACGACCTTATTTGCAGTCATCTGTTTTCTACTCACTGCCCTTCTGTCCATTTTTTCCTTCAGCGAATGCGGTCTATGATACAGATGACGAAGTACTCGAGAGAGTTATTTCTACTGACTCGCTGGCGTTGGGTAAGACCCTGTATGATTGTTATCACACTCTCTTAAGCCCCTTCCGGTAATTATGTTATTCGGTATTGTTCTGTAACTTTTATTCATTAATTGCTGTATTTGGTAATCTTCCCCTCTCCTCTGAACCTTCAAGTTTAAAGCCAGGGTGCTTTCCTTGTCCATTAAAGATACAACTCACGGGAAAGTGTCCAATGCCATTTTTCTCTTGTAAAGATCATGATCCCTTCCCATATTCCAATTCTATTCTTTGTAAAAATTAGTATTGGCTTACCTTTTACTTCCCGGATAACGAGCTATCTCGACGTATAAACAGATAACATCTGATACTAATTCGCAATCTCTTCCCGTTCCTTTCTGCTTTTTCGTCTGACGTCTTATTCCTGCTGGGTCGTTTTATTGTAGTCAGCTGCCGTAACCTGTGGTTCAGTTTATTTTCACTCTAATTTTCACCATGGCACCAGTCATCCTAACCTGATGCACTTATGTGGAACTGTAATTTCTATCGTAGTGAATTGATGGGTTGTTTGTTTAAAGTTCTTCGTCGTTGTTGTTATTGTTGTTTTTGTTGCACTTCGGCTGTTGCTAGTACCCTCAGCAGTTTGCCTTTTTATTGTATTTACTTCTCCGCCGGAGCAAGCTGAGATTTCTTTCGATAACACATTCATATGTATTTATCTGTTTTTTAATTTATGTTCATGTTTGTTTGCTTTTTTATCTGTGCTTGTTTGTATTCTTTTGTTCGCTCTGCTCATTTGAGCCTTGATTTGCAAATCATTCAAAATAACGAACATTTTTTGTGAAACCTGCAGGTAGATCAACAAATGACCTTAAAAAACGCTGAAAAAAGTACACTTAACACAGCGCATCTTAGAGGACAGGAGCTTACTGACAGTTGTTTCAGTAACAACAAGAAACACTCACATAAATTGAGAGAAAGAAAGCTGTCAATTCTTGAAATGAAAAATTAATCAACTAAATAATTTACCTCGGAATCGCGTACCAAACATGCATAATTCTAACCCATAGTAGCTAACGAGCTCAGTGTTTAACGCTCATATCAGAATAAGTCGTCTCGTAAATCTTTCTTTTTATGTACATTTGCTGCATGAAATCCTTACGTCGAGTTTCCCGTCCTCCACTGAACGGTTCTGTTTTTTAACTTTTTTCTCTTTTTCTTCATAAACTCTGTTTTTTTTTCGTTTCTTCTTTGACTAAACAACAGAAGTTGGACTTGACGTTCCTGCTGATATACAAAGCCTCGACAGCTTTGAAATCAGCGTAACTACAGTTTAGACAAGGTAAAGTTGAGCATGCTCCTACGCTCTCTGAAGTTATCAATCCCTGGAGAGTAAATTAATATTCCGCATGCCTAATTTATTTTCGGTTAACAGTGTAACTTGATAAAACTTCAGTCATTACTAGCGTGATTTAAACGTTAAAATGTAACACTATGAAGCCACGAGAGAATCAATTTTTTTTTAATTTCGAATCGTATTCAGCGGGACGTTCCCGTGTTGAATTAGCCACAAGAATAAAACCAAATATAGGCTAAAATTAAACACTGAAACTCTTTACAATAACATTAAACACAACTGTATTCTTTTCCATTTCCCTTAATTTTACACTGTTCATAATTTGTCCTCGACTCGTGGCTGTTATGAATTTTTGCAATCATTGATAGGCAATTTTTATTTTTTATTAAAGTTGGACACGTTGCTTCGCTTCTTGATTCAAAATCGTTTGTTGACAATTTTTGTTTTTTTTATCGTGAATTCAGTATGTGGTTTTCTTGTTTGTTTGTTTATTTTTCGGCTGTGGAGGAAGCGACTGTGATCAGTGTTACACCCGCACTCTTTGCTTTTCTGTGTTTCATTCTCACTTTTCTTTGTTTTCGTTCTTGTTACTGTTAGAGGGAAGAGTTGGGAGTAGAAGTTTTTTTCGCTGACTGCAAACTTTTTTGTGTGTTTTTTAATCCTTAATTTTTGCGCAGTTTTCCAGTAACACTTAAAATCAAGCGCATAAGGACAAGTTAAGAAAAAATTCTTTATCAGCTACAAGAGATTTATTCATGCTTGTTTCTATTTTCCTATCATTCGTCTCACAGTCATGCCACTAGAACTTGAACATCGTTATTACAGTTGAAAGTGAACCGTCAAGCCAGACCGCCTTACGTTTGGATCATTCGAAAATTATTTGTATCAACAATTCCTATTGTATGATGTCTCATTCGTCTCCGTTGTTTCTTATCGTAGCAAGTTCTGTCGGCCACCCTTTTCATCTACCTAGATTTATCAATTTTCGTTTTTTCTCGTGTGAAAAAAAAAAAGTGGTCATCATATATAAGACCTCATGTATTCCATCGATGGCTTATTAATTTTTTTTTTCATTTTCTTTTCATTTTTCCGTGTAATAGAACTGAATCACCCCTTATGGCGGGTATCTGCGCTGTCTTCAGAGTCACGTAGAGCACCGATTGCGCGCCCGGAAAGCGGCTTTGAGGATTCCGATTTAGAAGAAAGTGCACCATCTTCGCGGGTTTCCGCCACCTGGGCTAATTACATACTTCCTTCTGTCCAGCAAAGCACTGATAACGTTGTCATAGACATTCATCCGCGTCCTCGCGCGAACACAGACCTTTCTGAGTCACCAACCTCAGAAAGATTCACGAAACTTTATAACGATACAAGTAAGGCTACCTCTTCTGGTTCAATTTCGACAAATATTTCTTGTACGCCCCGATCAAACGGGGCTCCACCTCCTAAACCTCCACGAACATTCGAGACAGAAAGGTCCGAGGGGAGGCAGAGTTTCAGATATAAACCGCCGCCGAAGCCGCCGCGAACTTACGAGTACGACTCTCAAATTCAAGCGAACTTTTCTTCATCTTTGTATTGGAATTTTCCTCGTCCACGAGCACAACGGTATCAGACTCAGTTTTCGTCTCCAGATCTGGACGGAAATAATCTTTCCTCTGACTCGTTGGATGGAAAAGAATCTGGAGAAATACTTCCTCCTTATAGTCCACATCGTAAACAAAAACAGTTTACTTTTCGGATAATCAACGACCATGTGAACGGTGACCTTGAACACTATAGAGAAAATTCCTCTTTCTCTAAACAAAGTTGTCATTTAAATGGCGATGCTATCCGGAGACCGAAGGCACGGTCGATTGAGTCATCGGGCCCCGAGTCTCGGTTTTCGGTTTCGGATTCGGGCCTTCATATTTCACAAGAAGAGGAATTCTTACTAGGATCTGTTAAACCGCGCGGGGGAAGGCGAAAAAGAAAGCAGATTAAACAAGCCACTTCAGAGATACTCCAGCACTCATGCTCCACCGCAGACCAGCCTCTGACCACGCGAAGAACTGATGCGAATTTTTTGGAGACCACTTTATAGCATAGCTGGAAGTTATGGGGATTTGTAAGTTGTAAAGCCTTAGTTTGCACATGAAGGGAAGTCCCGTTTGTCTACTCCCTAGGTTTAGTTTTAGTGGAGAGAGAGGTTAACAATAGTTGTGAAATATTTTAAATTATTATGATAAGTAAAATTATGACATACCATTTGAAACAAACCCTAGACAAGAGCTTAAACAAAGTTTACATTTTTACGTTTGTTACAAATTTAAATAAGCTTTGTGGCGGAACTCAGCCAGAAAGGTCTAGTTAGTTCTTCGAATGGCCGTTACTTTTGCAAGTCATGTAGAACAGGGTGCCTGCAGAGTATTGGGAAATTCCTTTCTTTCTTTGTGATGATTTGAGTTTCCTGACCATTGCCATTTTTGAGAGAAATCGTAATTTAAGTATTTATGTATAGACTTACGTGAAATTGACTGGCTTGCGATGATTCATCGGGCTTAAATTCCTTTTAAACACACTGAAGAATTTCCCTTTTGAAAAATTTATTACAATAGCGGCTCCTTATTGGCCAGCTAGTCTGAACTTTCTAAACGAGTTACTGACCGTCATGAAAGCGCTCTTACTCAACTGATACAAATTATAACCTTACGAACTGCAATATAACTGCTCCAACAAAGCATATGTAAAAAGCGCGGGAAAACCCCTTCAGCCAATAACTTTTGGCCTTTTACCATGATCGGTTGTAAAAATGATTCTTTCAGATCTTTTTAAAGTAATTTTAATCAATGAATTAGAGCCTTTTATTTAAGAATTGTTATTTATTTCAGATGTATCTAGTATGTATTGAAACTTTATGAGAAAAACCAAGATATACATAATATATAAGTTAAAGTGGAGTTTAAATTCAAGAGATATGAGCTATAAATATTAATTACTGCCTTGAAGTGTTTTTATTTGACGGTTTTTGCCGCAGCTTTGTTCGTTACTTAAAACTTTTTTTTTTTTAGCATTTATTTTATTCTATTATCAGTAATTTTTTTGTAAATATTTCCACAGTGCTTTTCATTTCACGCTGTGCTTTAACTCGAAGAGATATGGGTAAAAAATATTATTGATAGATATAGATAGTAGTTGTAGATTCAAAGTTATTGCATTGCATGCACAAATGATGATTAAAAAATGATTATAATTAAACTTGAATTACAAGGAGATGAAAGGTTCCATAAATTCCCATGCTATGATTCAGAGGTCCTGTGTTTTTCTAATCAAGCGTCATATTTCTAAATTTACGGAGTGCTTAATCTAAAAATGTACTCATTGGAAACATTTCGTTATGGCTGTTGTTTTGTCTTCTTTGCCAAATTTAAGCAGTGAGAGGTCAGCACCAAATTTCCTTGTCCTCACTTATTGTGCTTCTGTAATGTCACACCTAATCCGATCAATTTTAGGTTACAAGAAATAAACTTACGCTACAACGAGATGAAAAATCCCATAATTTCTCTAAGAGTTCCTGCGTTTTGCTAACAAGCGCCACTTTGAGGGATGTATTCGTCATAGTTTTGAATTTACTCGATCTTAGAATGCGCTCATAGTTTGATTCTGAAATTAGCTCATCATGCCACATATGCCATGGTACCTTATCTGTCTGTGCAGCGTTTGAACGGTTTAACAATTAATTTTTGAATGCTCAAGCCTCTCCTCTTGCAACAGCCATTTGACGGAAACCCGATCTGGTTTGTAACCCAGTGTTTAAAAGTAAGCTTGTTTTGCCCTGTACACAATTCTACCGCAAATCGTTTTATGCTGCGTGTTGTACATCATAGATTTAAGTGTCACCTTTTGACACAAGCCGTTTGACGGAAATCGAACCATGTGAGTGTCGCATCTAAGTCAGGGAGTGCAGAAAGTCAAAATAAAGTGCCGCTTTAGTCCAAAGTTCAACGTCGCTGTCTATGGCAGGGTCCTTTTTAGAATAAGTGTTACATAATGTACGCTTTAGATTTTCTTGTGACTTTCTCTATTCCTTTTAAAACTGATTGACAATAATTATTAATGGAAAATTTGGATGACCCTTAACAGAGTTGAGTTTTTTGCTTGCTTGTTACGTAGAGGGTGAGGTTAAGGTTGAGGTTCACAGTGAAAAGGCACTCCCATCTGGCTTTTGGCAAACGCTCCGTTCGGCTACTGTGAAAAACAAGCATGAAGTCTAGGGATCCATTCCTCTCGTGCACCGAGCCGACATCTGGGTATCAAGCTTCACAGCAGTTTTCTGACGAAGTTTGGGGGTCAAGACGCGTGAGTTCTGCGGAAGCATATTTTCTCACCTGGGGGTGCAAATCATGGATTTCGGGGTCACATAAGATAACCAGGGCATGGCCATGCTAGTCTCTTACGTGTAGAGCTAAGAGACTAATATGGGTGCGCCTTTGGCATCTTTCACATCGGACCCCCCGACGTTTGCGATCGTTTTGGATGTGCATGACCATAGCCTTAGTCCTTTGCTTTTGAGATACAAAGTGTGGTCGAAAAGGTAACCCTCTCTGGCATGTAAAAACATTCCATTTGGCGACTGGAGAAAATTGAATGCAAAGCATCATATATAGACCAATCGCCTTCCTTGTTGTGAGCAGAGAGATCTGGGCAAGAATCATCGGAAAGGTGGGGAAGTAAGTCGTTTCTTCAAGGTGGGGTGGGGTGGTTAAGGTATTTTGGTCCGCAATGGCTACTTTTCGTTAGTGCCCTGAAATGTTCCGGTTTTTTTTCCAAAGTTCCAGCAGTTTGCTTTAAAAATAATGTGAGCACTGGAAAGTCTGTCTTTATAAGGGAAAATGATCTCATTAGAAGCGTGTTTACGTAATAACCCTTTGTAAGAACTGGTTTCTGCATAGCGCATAGCCAGCTGCAAGGAAGGTAGGCAGTTTGGCTGGGTATTCTGCAGTCAAGTCGACCATGTTTTAATTCTGCAGCGTTGCTTTATGCTTGTAACGGAAACTCGATGACGATACATTACATTAACTTGTACATGGTAGATCATTCTCCACCTAGGCAGCCCAGGACAAAGAGTCCCTTGTCCTCTGCGTGAGTCAATAAAAAATGCTTTCAGCTACTGCATGCAATACATAAAAACATCAAGTGAACGAGTCTTTACAGATGTTTGGAAAAATAAAAGCGTTTTTAGTGTTTTACAAACCTCAGTCAAGGCTTAAGCTGACGAGTGGAAATCTTTATTTCAAATCTACTTTAGATTTCCTTACAGCTCTCGCGGTTTGGAGAACTTGGAAATATTTCCGGGAAATATAATTCAATTTATAAACGTTCAACAAGCGTAGTGTTACTTATGACTTTAGATAGCGTAACTGTACACGTCCATGCCTCTTGAAGAGAGGTCATGCTACGATTTCCGATTTTACCATTTGATGATTATAGAACAGCGTCCTCCTCTTAATTAAAGATTGTCCGAAATTGCTTCACGGTAGAGGAAAACTTTGATGAAAGGTGAATGGTCTTGTAATACTTACTAATAAATCGATCAATTAAATGTAAAACATTTTTAAGAAATGATCAGTTTCATAAAATAGTGGTGCAAATGTAAACCGCGTCAATTCGCGTCAATTCCGCGTCAGTACGAGGGGGAAATGTGGGAGGTTCAGTTTTTTATTTGTACGCGTTAATTCCTATTTGGACGTATTTTACAAGCACGGAAAACATAAAAAGAAGAGAATCCTCTCTAACTTGCAAAGATTAACCGGGTAACGTCTTGAGACTTGTAAATTACAGGACCATGCAGCATTTCATCACAGATAGTACGGAGACTTCACGGTCTCAAGTTATGAATTTGTGAATTCTGCTTTTGCCAGCGTCTGTCTTGGTCTCTTTTCCAAAGTCCAAAAATAAATTAAGAATCAGCAAACCAAAGGCGCTGATCACTAATTCAAACTGTGAAATATGGCACATTTTTTTTTCTTTTTTAACCGTTATGGTCAGACAGTTCTGATTACGTAATAATGGAATTTTATGTCTGAATGTCTGAACGCATCGGACTGGCCTGCTTGTTCTCACCAGAAGTATGCAAATTAATTCAGCCACTTTTTTGAAGCGTGTTGGTCTCTTGTGAGCCATTTCACAAGGTTACTCCCCTTTGTTTCAGTAGATGGGAATTGACGACTGTAGAAAAACACTTAGCAGGTGATACGCCTTTCTGTCGGTATAAAACTGTGCAAACTGATCAACAAGATGTTAAGAAACTAAAATTACTTGTCTTCCTGTAGCCTGCCACCGAGGACAAACACTTTCATGGTTGCTGGCTTTTGCTTGATATAAAATTTAAAGTAGCGTTCGTTACTTTACCTCTAGATTACGAAGGTCTAGTCTTTGATTTGTCATTAGGGTTAAACACTAAACTAAACGTGGAACGTCGTTCGCTTCTCATTGGAGGAAGAGGAGAGGTAGTGCGTAGTACAAACACTTTTTCAAATACTCGAAGGTGTTTGCCATGCGATTGGTGGCAAATTAAAGCCCTGCAAATTTTCGCAAGAATTTTCAAGTCAATAGACCCGAAGATGATGGGGTTGACAATAGAGTTCGCATACATAAGAATGTTGCTGAAGGTGACAACCTTGCTGAAGAGCTCAGGTTGTTTGGAACCGTTTCCAAAATCATGCCATAACCACGTCACATGCGTTGGTAACATGCACACGGCAAACGCCACGACAGCGGCAACAAACACGTGGACGATTTTAAGATTTCGTTGTGTTGGCAGGGAAGCTGAACGCCGGCTACTGATCGAGACATTTGTCCATTGTCTTAGAGAGTTCTTGTCCTTGTACAATGCTCTGACTATGAACGCGTACAGAACGGTCATTAAAAGCAGAGGTATCGCGTAAAGAGAGGTGAAGATAGTGAGGGTGAACACTTTGCCACTGTAAGAACGAGGCCATAATTCTCCACATTGTGACCCATCAAGCCTCAGTGCAAGCGACAGAGGAAGTACGATCAAGCAAGATGAAAGCCAAAAAACAACAATTGTTATTATTCCAGTTCGTAGGTGAATTCTCGGCTTCAGTGGTGTTACGATCAGTCTATAACGATCCACGCACATGAATAAAAGCGTCATAACTGACACGTACACCAAAACAGACTGAAGAGGATAAATAACGTGGCAGAGTGCAGCTCCATACGGGAATTCACCGATCATCTTTTCCCCAGCATCTAATGGAATGCTGACAAGGCACGTCCCTGCATCAGTGGCCGCCAGATTTAAAATGAGATAATCATTGATTTTTCTCTTTTTAAGGCTAAAAATCGCTTTAAATACCAAAAAATTGCCGATCGTCCCTAGGAACGTAATTAGTATTAAGAGAGTTACTGCTATGACCTGAAGTGTCTGCACTGTGTTGTCGCGTGGTTGCTCTGTGGTGGAATTTGCGATGTTGTCTAAACCATCGTTGGTGTAGTTCATCTTTCGCCTGAGATAAATGTCGATTACTTCTCCAGGTTTAATTTCACGGCATGGAAGCAATATGCTTCCGAGTAAGTTGTGTTTACTGACTTTCAAGAGGACAAGGTAAACTTTATGAGAACAACGACGCCGTCAAATTAATTAATCATCATCACCCAATCATGGAAGGTTATCCCTGGTAATCTTTAATCCCAATTCCTGCACTAAATCCTGAAATTCGTAACTTTAATCCTGTAAAACATACTTCAGATTTGCGACAGAAGACGAAGACCATTGGGCGGATGTCTGCTTATCATGTCGTTTGTTCAGTTCTGCGTTTGGCTTTATTTCATGCAGGTCACATTTAATGGGTCAACTTCGACCGAGTCTTTCATCGAGTTGACTGAACGATCAAGACTATTTCACTAAGCGGCCAAAAGCTTTTAATTTGACGAGATTTATAATGCTTGAAAATAAGATTAATCATTGTTCTCGGAGTTGGTACAAATCTTGAGAGAAAATCTCTAAAATCTATGTCAACGTTTTCACTCCTGTAGGAGTGACTATAAGGGTGAACTTCTCTTTACATAACAATATCAATACATGGCCAAGCAGACAGGTCACGAGAGGAAGAAACCAATTTATCAACAAAGGGATATAGTGTGATACAACGCCAATTTCTCAGTGTTAAGAATACACGAATTTTAAAGCAGAAAGTGCAGAGAATGCACACTTAATATGAAGAGTGAATAAGTTAGTGAAAGCAGGATACCGAAACCAACGTGACTGTTTTAATTTTCCTATAATAACCTTCTAA